TTGAAAATAATATTGAGGGTATGACAAACATAAAAATGCACAAAAGAGACAATGTTATACTGGTTTTAACTTCTGCATGCTTAAGCAATGTTAAGGGCTCACATGACATACCTTGGTTGGCTCATGATTCTTGGATTTTATTATCCTGTCACTCTTCAAAAGCCTGATTCTCCATCTTTCTTCCTTTTTTTTTTTCTGTCCAAGCTAGATATCTAGTGTATCTGATTTGTTCTCAATGAAGAAGTTTATATGGAAACTAATGCTAAACAGATTCAAAATTTGTACATGGGATATTTTACTTTTAGTATACTGATGGATCCAACAGTACACATAATTCATTCCAGAAATTTAAAGACAGAAAATTCATCATTTGTACCATTCTATAAACCTTCAAATATATTTTATATGTAAAGAAAAACAAATATAGAAACTTGATGCATGAAATATAAACAAACTGAGATACCAACTAAAAGAAATGGCATAATTTAAAAGCTATTTTATTAGATGGTTTTAAATACAATAGGTTCTAAATGGGACAGATTATAAGGATTTTTAATTAAAAACAGAATAAAAGCTTGCTGAAAGTAAGAACTTTTATGCTCAGAAATACCAGTATAAGCAATTCCCAAAGGCTTTGAAATGAAAAGTATGCTCTTAAGACAATGGACAATGATTCTGTTATACTGTTTGCCAGAATATAAACCAGTTTTATGAGTTGGAAGATTAAAAAGTGAATTTTAAGTTCTCTAATTTAGATTTAATCTTGTGGAATATATAGAAAGTAACATTTTCTGAAAATCATGACTCAAACTTCACAGGAAATTCAACCTCCAGGTTTTTCCTTCTTACTGACAAAATGATGAGAACATGTAATAATTTGGGCTTTCAAATCACTTGTTTAAACAACCATTAGTTGTCTATATGCAAATATTCCTAATAATTGTTTCTATTTTTTGGCCTACATGTGTGTAACAGCCCCCTCCCCAAAAATACAGAAATGAAAACACACACACACACACACACACATACACACACACACACACACACAGTCTTGATGCAATATCTAAATGTTCAAGAACTCTACCAGTGAATTCATTAGCAAATGCTTTTTACTAGGGACTTAAATCCCACAAAATATATTCAGCCCAGAATTGACTGGAGAATCTTTCTCTCAAGATATTTAGAACATACTATGGTTAGACTTTATTAAATTCAAAAGAGTTAGTTTTGTTTTCTTTTAATTTTGAAACATGATACAAGTTAATATGTTATGTCAAAATCTTTTTTAAAATTACAATTCATTCTTGACTAAGCTTTAAACCCTAAAAGGTTTATTTTATAATACACTTTCAGCATGAATTCATCTCACTACTGGTCTATGGTTTTCCCCCCAAAAACCAAAGCATTTTTCAACATCTATCTCCCCAAACAGGTAACATAAAACATGAAAATACCATAAAAGTATTAAGTCTGTCCAATGTTTTAAGTATATTGAAATATTTTATTACATCTACCAAGGACTTGGTCTACATTAATATATATTTTGCGAATGATACAACATTAAAGGTGTGGAAATTTTGAGAACTAGTTACTTTAAAATTTAAGTTATAAGAATCCCTCTAAATAAAAAAAAGATATAATTACTCATTTTTGTTATCGATCAAACAGTTTGAATATTGGATAAGCCAATGAAAAAGCTTAAGGTTTCTTAGACCAGATGCCCCCAAATATTTTACCAAATAAAAATAAATTGTCAAATTGAAGGACTTCATTAGAATTAATATTCTTTGCATTCTATAGAATTGGAATACTCAATGAATCTTTCAACAAAAGGTTAGCATATTTGCTCAAGCAGAAAGATAGATAAAAAAATAAACGGTTTTTGTTTATTCTTTTCAAAGCATTTTTTAATAAAAAGGAGACTCTATATTAACAAAAGGAATAGATGATTATGCTATCCTAAAACATTTCAACATGTATTATTATAAATTCACAATTCAAGGAAAATATATTTTGGGATTACAATTTTAATCATAATTTGTAATCACATTTAACATGACGGAGGCATTGTAGTTCAGAAGAATCTATATTCATTCACTGCTTCATGTAAACAAGCTTATAGTTGGTATGAATTAATCTTTAGATCTTGAAGTATTTGAACATATGACTTCACTGATTTGCTCATCTTTTATTTGATATTGAGTTAAGTAGATGAAAATTGGTCCTTATTGATTTGGGCAGTGGCTAAACATGTAATTTTGGGGAAAGCAGAAGTGTTGTATTTTACATAAATGGCTTAATAATTTCATGCAGGTAAAGAAAATACTTAAACGCTAAATACCTGATCTTTTCAAATAAATGCAGACCTACCTTGATTTCCACAATATGCCTGTATTCATTTCCATGAGACAATGTTTTCACAAAATGTAAGGTAAAACAGGTGTTAAATTATTTAACAGAACTCATAATTTAAATAATTAAAACTAATTTGTGTTTAAAGCTATTTGCAGATTTATTAGAGAAACAAATACAAATATGCATTTCTACAGAACTGTTTTTTTTCCAAAATGAGCTTAAAACTTGTTCCACAGTTTTCACTTGTTTATATATCTATGGTAACCCAAGTATTGGCTTCTGTACCACTTGTAATGAGACAATTGCCCTTCCATTGCAATTATAAAAAACTATTTAAAAAAAAATTCGGCACATACACGTTAAATATTTTTCCTTAAAAAAATAATCTAATCAAAATATTGAATACTTTAGATTTAAACAATATTTTATTTACAAATCTGATTTGATGTACTTTATTAATTATACAAGGTAATGCTTCAATTTTCAAGAACAGTTGTTTTTTTTTGTTTATATAGACCAGTGGAATGACATCCTATCTAGTAATATGTACTACACTTCAATTTTTTCAAAATTAACATCACAAGTTGTGAAACTTTCACTTTTTCTTGAAATAACGTTTTTTTTTTAAATTGGGGGCACATATCTGATGAAACAAAAATAACATGCAGAACTCCAAAAATAATCTGTTAAAGTAATATGATACTTACCCTTTATGTAAAAAGACATCTATGAACAACAGTGCATAACAATATTATGTAATCATGTTTATGAGAAACCAAGCAGGAGGCAAAATGAGTTCATCCTGTTTTCTAATCATATGCAATTTCATATGGCTGTTTGCATCATTTAAATAAAGTGTGTACATTAAATTTATAAGACTGCATTGCACTCAAAATTATTATGTATAGCCATGCTTGCCCTGTATTTAATGAGTGATGAATTTCTCCTACTAACAGAGTAA